CCGGTAGATGAGTAGCTGTACCAGCTGATATAATAACAGCATTAGCATCGACGTTGACAGAGCCAGTATCAGTTGAAGTGCTAGCAGCAGCATCATAATTAGAAGAGGGTAGAAGAGTAGCGGATGCAGTCTCAATCTGATTGTAAAGTCTCCCGGCCTCTTTAGCGGCGCCGTCGGCAGAGCCATTAGCGCCCGTTGACATGCAAGAAGAGGCTGGGTGCATAGATGAAGAGAAGTCGTATTTGTTTACACTGCACAGTTTCTCAAATTGTGTGAGCAAATGAGACAGAATGGAATTGTTGTCATTGAGCTTACACTGCACGTCACGAACCTCAGCTTGAAGGGAATCGGTTTTTTGTCTTAAGCACTCATTATCTTCATGCAAAACATTCAAAGCAGAGAGAAGATTAGAGTTAAGTAATTTCAACTCAGCAAAATTGTCATTAGCAGTGTGGGAATTAGGCACTTGCACTTGAGTGGCTTGTTGTTGTTGTAACGAAGAATTATTCGAAGTCATAGACTCGTCTTGTTGATCAGCAGCACACAAACCACAAATGTAGATATTGTCAGCATTATTTAGGTTATTTAAGTCGGCAGGCAGGCTACCAACAACACAACTCAAATGGAAAATTTCTCTGCACTGATCACATTGCACTGAAGTTTGGGCGCGCTCAACTCTATGGCCACAAAAACAGGGCATAATGTAGCAAATATTAGAAAATGATAAGCACAGGAAAAGAAAAACAGAGTCAATGTCTATAACACAATTTTAATTTTAATTTTAATTGTTGTGCGACAAAAAATAAAAGCTCGAATTTAAGAAAAACTTAGAGCGCAGCAAAAACACGTCTGTTCACGACAAACTCTCTCTCTCTGTGAATAATATAAAAAATTCAAGTGCAACAAAGGTAAGTTAAAAAGATATATATTTTTTTTATTTACAAACTAAAAATTTTTTCTACAGCTGTAAAATAAATTTTTTAATAAAAAAAAGTTGGCTTCTGTAAACGCTTACCGCTGATTATCGCACTAAACAGATAACCAGCCTGCAACGAAGTTTATAAACCGTAAATAATCGCTTAAACTATTTTGCATTTTTGTCGACTTCGGAATTAGCGAAAAATTCTAAAATTTTAGGTACACTCATACTAGAATGGATACGTTACAAGATCTGAATAGAGACTCCCAGCAAGAATTGGTGGAATGCGTACAATTCAAGCGCTATCAAAGACAACGTGCGATTCATATGGATGGTAAAGAAGGCATCCTAATTGATTATCTACTTATCGTAATGCGTATTTTTTCGCTTCCAGAATTGAGCGCAAAAATCGATCGAGTTCTCACGCATCAGCACGAACTGCTGGCACTGATTAGGCATGCTTCTGAAACGAATATGATAAGCTTTCCAATTGCAAATGAAGCAGATTTACGTGCTGCCGATTATAATTTAACAATTCAAGCAAAGCCGCATCTGAGCTTATTATGTCTTAAATACACTGGTTGGTTCAGAGTTTCTTATGATTCATCTTTTATTAGTTGCCAACTTTGAAAAGTTTATCGGGCTCAAATGGGCTGTTCAGAAATTTGGCTAAAATTTTGGAACCAAATATACTTGCGGCTTTCAATTATGATGGCATCAATGACATGCAATGTTTTCGCGACTATAAAGCTTTGAATGCGGCGATTTTTGGTTAAAACTACTTAAATTACTAGCCATAATATTTTTGCCATACTGACTTCCATTTCTCCTCTTTCAGATGCTGTTAAGCAAGATGGCTACACAGAAAGGGACTATGCCACAGATATGCGAAACTCCTTAAGGCTTCATAAAAATCGCATTTTTAAGCAAAGTCAAGACGATTTACTAAGGCAAAGAGAGAAACAAGTATTGTGAATAAAATGAAATAAATAAATGTTTATGGCGTAGAAAAATTAATTTTTTTTTTTTTTCAAAATTGTGTGCACATAAAAATAGTAACATTCAAAGTGAGTGTGATAAGAACAGTTGAAGATTTAATTTGAAGCGGACTTTGTCTGCAGACTTTCACCCAAATTCATAAAAAAATAAAGAAGACTTTAACTGATTTATAAATCGAAAATTTGTATGAATATACACACTATCAGGCCTATTCTGCGTTGGTAACAAAAATTTTGTTACCGGTTAGTAAAGTTACTGTCAATTTTTAAACCCTTTTCGTATTCTCCATACTCTTATAACCGGTTTATTTTGTTACCATCTCATGAGCAGGTAACAAAATATTGCCCCGTGAAATATGCAACACCAGAATTTCAACAAAACACCATAGCTGAATTGCTGAATAGATTAAAACGTTACCACCAAGGTAAATAGAATTGCGGTTGCAAGAAGCGGTTGGTGACAATTGTTGGTAACAAAATTAGCTTGTTACAAAATGTTCGGTTACAAGCAGAATAGGCCTGTATATAGCTCTTTAAAACTATTTTTTATGAATAAGGTCATTTGAATGCATAATATTATTGAAGGAGTAACTGTGCCCATTTTCTTGAAACAAATGTTAACTTGTTGCAATCAATAGATTTTAACATGACCATTTATGATTAATGCCAAACATTTTAATGACAAAGTGGGACATTACAAAATACTTGTGTCGTTACTAAACAACATTGTTTAAATGTGACATTTTTAAATTATTTTAATTTTTTTCTACCAACAAGAAAATTTATTTGCCATTTCAATGCCTTGTAGAAACTTGGTATTAGGAATTTAACTAATAAAGGATGCCATTTTTGGTTTGTCTTTATATTCTAATTTTTATACTGTATACATATGTACATACCCAGCGGGAAAAGTAGTAACGCATTACATGCGTGATAAATATTGTAATGTATTTCTTATGAGTTCTCGATTCTATTACTGTTAACCAGAGATCGAAAATAACCATCACCAAGTGTCTTGTATGGTGTTTACCACTGACACAAACACTCATCTCTCAAGCAAAGAGTGTTGCTCACCGTGGCATATCTCTATGTGCGATCTTTTTGTGTTTTCCGTTGTGGGTTATTTATCAACTGCTAAAATTTCCTTTAGGCAAAGACACTTTGGCAGGGACTTTTATTTTTAAGTGTCTTAATTTGTGGGTTATTGTAAGACTGAAAAAATATAAGTGGGCGTACAGGAAGTGGAAGCAAAGCGTAAGACATTTCTTTACACGACATATAGTTACACATACATGTGCGAACATTTATGATAAAGAAGAGAGGGTGCACATTCATAATATCCCAATAAACATTGGGCTTGGTTAACAATTCGAAAATGATTGGAAAACTAAAATTTTTTTCAAGTCTCACCTTCGATAACGAATGTGGAATAGGTTAGTATTCTATTCGAGAACTAGGCCATTCTCCAGCAAAACGGAACCTTCGTTATCTAATGAATTTTTCCTTCATTATGAATTCGAAATCCAGCCCATTATCGAATTGAAATTTTAATGCGAGAGACTGATTGTATATTTATATTTCCATTCGAAAATGAGCTGGATTTAACTTCCTTTCTTGTTACTATGGTTTCCATTTTTATTTCGAATCCATCTCGAATGTATTTCCAATACGCTATGCACGTTGGAAAACTAAGGTTGGTTATGAGTTCGTTCTCAGTTCGACACTCATATTGGATATCGAAGGTCACCGCATGACCGTGACGTTGACGTTGCTTATATCTCTCTATCAACAGCAAATTTGATTATTTTTCCACTTCCAGCGATAAGTGTCCCGTGTCCAACAGCAACGGAAAAATATATGCAAATAACCCTTTCCCACTAAGAGGAACACAAATCTACAAAAAATACACCACCTGACCTGTTTTTTGTGTTATTTTTTCTCTTAAATAGTGACGGTTATTTTGGGACACTGTCAAAATGGAGAGGGATATTTTCGACCTCTGTTGTTAACCAAGTAATTAGCATTCTACTGTATCCAAAAAGTCCCAGAAAATTCATATTAAATCACTGTCATTCTTGCATTACTGATAATGCAAAAATGAATGCCCCACTTTTCCTAGGACATCGCCGTTGAGGAAAAATGCATTGTCGAATGTAAACAGGGCTGTTTTACTGAATATTTTTTCGATTACTATACATTACATTTTCCCACTGGGTATGTACAGTGGCGGAAAAATAAATAGGCACTCGACATTTTAACAAGTTAAGGCTATTCTTTTGTTTCATTCAATGTTTATTATTTTTTTTTATAAAGGTATAGCTCATTAACTAAAACCATGTAAGTCCAAATTCCAAACTTTGTACCAAAATAAGAAAAATCCATAAAAATTTCAAACTTTTTAATTAAAAATTAAAAAAAAACATTTATATGCAGTTTTTTGTAGCCCATTAAATAAAGTGCAAGTGTTAAGTTGCTAAAAAATCCCGTTGATTTTTGATAATTTTTTTGCTGACGATGTTACGCATTTTTTCCCATATAAAAAAAAAAACAAGCATACTTGGTATAGAAAAAACTAAATACCAAATTTTTTCTAAGAATTCTGATCAAAAAGTTTGAAATTTTGTTAGTTTTCCTAATTTTGGCGCATAGTTTGAAACTTGGACTTGCCTGAGTTTTTAGATAATGAGCTAAACTTTTATAAAAAGAATAATAAACATTAAATAAAGAAAGGAAAAAGTATCCACAACTTGTGAAAATGTCGACCCCTTATTTATTTCCCCCATAGCATTTCTATGAAAAGTTGTTTTTTTCCCATATAAAATACATGGAAAACTTTGGGCGCTTTGAGCGACCTCTAAATATTTTTTGGATTTTGAAATGAAAATAGGGGTATATATTTTTCGATATAGAACAATCTTAGAGGATGAGAGCATTAAAATTTCGACTTTACTTATTTTGGACCACCTTAATGTACATTAAGTAAAATATATGAAAATTCGATGTATTATATAAATTAGAAAATGATGGTCCTTNTATGATGGTCCTTCCCTGAACTTTAAAATTTTTTTCTTTTTATATTTTAGACGAATTCCAACACAACTTCCGGTTGTCAAATGGGGTTGGATGAGACTGTCACTAAACGAGGTTAATTGGTTTTTATTTTTATAATTTTCTCATTTATGATTTCTTTACATATCTATGTAGATATTGCCGACTCAAAGAATTGATAAGAGATACACACAATTCCCTTCTCAAAGGTGTGTGCTTATTTGTTTTTAATAACTTCATTATTTAAAACTTCCTAACTTGAACGTAATATACTATTTGCAGCACAACAAAAAACGCAAATTTTTCTTAAAAAAGTGACAGATGAAGACCTAAAATCCGTTCCAGCAGCAACCGCAAGCCAAACTCATTGTCAAATTGGTCAAAATTTTGTCACAAATTCTAAGCGCAAGGAAGTACTGCCGAAAAACCCATACCAAACGGTTTCGGATTTTAAAACATTCGAAGAATTACTTAAGGATTCCAAAGATTTATATACGAATTTGGTTAGTTAGAGTGTGTTTTTCATTTGTTCTATTTACGGTTATGAATTACTTTTTATATTTTCTTATTCATTTTTGTTTCACAGGTTGACGAATTAACGACACATCAATTTAGCAATTCTGTTTCTTTTATAAAATCAATTTGGCGTCGTATTATGACCGATAATGTCGCTCAACATTTTTGTTGGAATGGAACGCCTGAGAAGACAGCCATACGCACATTGTGCGTAACAAATGCGCTAAGGGGTAAGGGATTGAAGATTATATATGACTTTATGAGCTTTAATTTTAGTGACTTAATTTAATTAAAACTTTAAACATTTATTTACAACTTTGTTAATTAAGTTTTTATATTTCTCCCTTCTTTTACAGAGGCATATCTACACAAGTAGTTACAATTATAGTAGCAACGAAGAATTTCAGCGCACTACTATATCCTTCTTCCAGTATGCAAAAGCTCGTCGACAGCTGAAAGAAAATTACGAAAAGTTTAAAGCTGCTAGTTTGCCGCTATAAAATTAAATGCACACCAGGTACATAGTATGTAAGTTGGGTCAGTTAAGGGCAATTCGCTTTTTTAATAAGCGCAACTAAGAAACGAGTTAAAATTAGGAGCTTTCAATACATTATAGATTGGATTTGAATTTGAATATTTAATTGAAAATACTTTCAATAGTTAAAACCTACTTTTAATTTAGCTATAACTAAGTGCTTTAGTATTTAAGCGGTTGATTTAAATTTGTGCTTTAGTAGTTTAAATTAATACTTTGTGGACTTAAGTTTGTGCTTTAACTTTTGAAGTTGGACCGATCTACTTGGAAAGCGCTTCGGCTGTAGAGATGGCGCCTTAGAGATCCAGGTGTATAGCTCTTTTAATTAGCTAACCGTCAGATACCGTTAATGATCGTAAATTGCCATTGGATCGCAAATTGGAAAAAAGTATGACTATATTAAAATTAGCAAACTTTTTTTTTATTTTATGAATTGTTGCAAGTAGGTCTGGGACTATCCGTGTATGCGGATATTTGTGTAGCACGTATAATATCTTGATATCCGGTTAATATATGTTCTACTTTGTTATCCGGATATTCGCTTAATTCATATCCGTTCATTTTGTTATTCGGATTCTTTAATCTGATGAGATACTCGAATGTCCGGTTTCTGAATATTCAAAATATCCGAATAGATTTCCCACACCTAGTTATAAGTTATTTTGTTCCATAATTGGTTCTTTCATTTTGAATTGAAGGGGTTAGAACCATAAGGGTCCAAGTGTCATTTTTTGAAAATATAAGTTATACCCATATTTGTATAGTTGAATATGTTTATGTGTTTATTTGGTGACAAAGAGTAATCATTCTTTGAATTTGTTAATTAACCTGCATTCATTTAGGCAAGAATCATTTCAAATGCATTTACCCAGAATTTACAATAAGTAATCAAGTTTAACCTAATTATCTCAAAAAAATGTCAGATCTACTTAGATTCTTTTGATTCCAACCCCTTCAATTGATTCTTACTTATGAGATTTGCATTAAAGTTTTTTTGTTTCTCAACTTTTCTATTTTATCGGAAAAATATATATATATTGGAAATTTTGTTTACGCAATATTCCAACAACGGCGCTAGATAAATGCAAGGCAAACTTGGATTTCGATTTTTAAAATANTAACATCGCTGTTAGCATTTATATTCTTTTTATACGGGATTTTCTGCGATTCCGTTACGTGTCACGTATCAAAACGTATCAAAAAGCTGCCGGAACAAGCAAAAAGCCCAGGATCTATAAAGAATAATGGCTTCCCCAAACCGGACAGTGGTCAAGTGCATCATATCGGATATCTTCTAGAGGGTGTTTAGTTTTCTTACCTTGAAAAGCGCTAGCTTGTGGTGAGTTTTGGACAGTTGGGCGTCCCACCGGACGTTTTTCTTTGAATGCGACAATACCGGTTGCAATTTCTTTTCGGAGTCAATTAGCCTTAGCCTGCTCGAGTCAATTAGCCTTATCACGAGTTTCATTTTCCCCAAACCGGTTCACTTTTCGTGGATGAAAAAAATTGGCGAAATTGTTTTCGAGCGAAACTCACGATAAGGCTGAATATTTTTTTCGTTATGTATGCGACGGTATAAAATGTAAGCATTTCGATTAAGTGATAACATTGAGAGAAATAGAGATTGCGCCTATCGCGGTACCGCTAATCCGCTTTTTGTGATTTTGACAGAATCAGCTGTGTGCGTGACGTCATCTTGGTGCAATTGTTGATTGTGAGCATACGAGAAAACCAAATAACAATTTTAATTTTTGTGCGTTAATATTTCTGCGTGATTTTAAACAAATATTGAGCCATTACAAAGGAAAATGCAGTGTGCAGTGGCAAAATGTAATAGTGAAAACAGAAGGAAAGCGTGTGATATATATATTTTTTTCGTTTCCTACGGACGCAAACCTGGCGAAAAAATTGAAGCAGTTCTGCCGGCGAGGTGATGCATTAGACACCAAATCGAGCTTTGTGCTATGTGTATGAGCTATGAGCTTCTACATGGTACTATGTTGGCATTTCCTTGGTGAATTGTAGTAGGTATATATCCATGGTGAATGTAGACAGTTGCTGGTTTAGTTTGCTGGCAATGGCATACATACAAAAGCAGTTTCTACAGTAAAAAGATACATGAACTTCATTATTTTTGTTAGTACCTGATTCTTTTTAGTGCTGGTATGGGGTAATGCACCAGTGGATAAGGTGGCCAGGCGCTACCTAATACAAAACAGTGCCCAAATTATTATACATTTATAAGTTCAGCTTAAATTATGTTTTACTTACATAGAATATTTGTTTCCAAAAAAGCCACACTCATGCATCCTCTCAGAAACGGTACAAAAGTCGTCAAATCAAAGCTGTGGAGTCCACAAATATAAAAATGCACTCTGCATGGCTTTTTACAATGTATGCTTTGGGCGAGACCAAAAATTCACTTTTCTGCACTCCTTCTTTTTGGTCTACATGAAATTGCAAACACTGTTAATACATGCATTTTTTCATGTGCTAAAAATCGTACTTACCTAAAGGGCTACATGTCCAAACTTATTGCAACGTGTTCCTCATTAATCAATCTTTGTATATTTATTGATTCCTGCAAAATTGGCCCATGTAATATTAAGATTAACACATTTTTCTGCATTGTTTGCATATTTTTCCATGCGTTTTGGTATTTCTCTCTCGCAATTGCACCAAGATGACGTCACGCAAAAATTACGCTCAAAAATCCTCTCTCATAGGCGCAATCTTGTATTCTATCATTCTTGATAACAGCCCATACAATTAATGTGGCCAATATTCAGTAATATCTTGCCGACGGTTTGTGCTATGGCAATATTAGCATCTTACCCATTGCCGCCAGAACAACAATCATCAAAGTAAAAGTCATTCTCAATAATCTTGGCCGTTTCTGAATATTCTGCAGAAGCATCACTGGCACGCTGTAAAGCCTGCACGCACCGCATTGTGCGCTGAGGAAGTCATACCATGAAACAAAAATACAAGATCACGCAGGAACGCTTCGTATTTGTAACTGGTTTTGAGAAAAAAGTTTGTGAAACCGGGCTTGTCAGCTGACCATTTGTTTACATCACAAGCACCACTACTTTATACTTTTCTTTAACAAAAGAAGAGTTCATCCAACATGACAACACATTTTTAAGCATTTTAATGAATAATTTTACCTATATTGTATGTTTAATGTGGCTGACAATAGCTCTGGTTAATTTTTGGTTTTCGTTGTATTCTTTGCTTTNTTCCCCCCTTCCGTGCCCAACACAACAATCCCAAAATTCGTACCAATCAATACAATCAATTCAATTGGAACGACTGAAGTCAAAATCCTGGCGAAAATGGAACTACTAAGTAGCATACCTACTTCATGCGATTGCCAATAGTATGAATCTGCTAAATCATAAGCTAGAAGTTCCTCGTTTTGTTGACAGTCTTCAGGGGGTATCCTTGAATGCCAATCTCCTTCTTTCGGTAATACTAAAAATTCCGTGCCAATATACATATATCGCTGCATCTGTTCGCGACATAATCTTTCCAATCATTTTTCTACTAATTGTGCTAGGTATCCCATCTATTTCTATCATACGACGGGTTGTCTGGTCTTATGGTATCTTGTTTCTTTTTCTGAATGCGATCATTACCATGTTCACCATTGATCCTGTATCTAACAGAGCCCGCATTGGCCCATACCGTTGCCCCTGTACTTCCAGTACCACCAACATATGTAACGAAGCGCGTTTTTGCTGCCCCGACGCTTCTACAACGCTGGGTATACTCGCCGTGTCCAGTATCTGTTATAGGCCCCTATTAAGAGTTGCATTTGATCTTCGAATGTGGTCGAAAGTGCTGATCGAACAAGTTTTCATTTGGTATTATGACGCTCATTCGATGAAGAATAGCGCTATTGTGAATTTTACTCGTTTAGGTTGCTCACAATAGTGTATTTTTCACCGCTGAGAACCTTTGTTTACAAATCGAGCTAAATAGTGTTCTTATACATATTTATGCAAATTTGTGCAAATTAAAATGAAATAAAAAAGAAAGCGAGTTTATAAAAACGTGGTTAAAATTACTACAACGAGTTCTTCTTCAACGATTTGTCAGAGGATGAGAGCTTGGTAAACTGGCAGGAGTAGAAAACGTTTGTTGTAGAGAAATTTGTCTAAAGATTTATTAAAAACTTCCGACTGTCTAAAGAGGCGTTTGTGAGCCAAATCTATTTAAAATATTTTAAATCTCAGAGATCGTGTCAACTGAGTTTTGGATTTTCTTTCACAAGTAAAATCAGCCTTTCGAGCTTGTGTTTAGTATTCACGACGTTAGAACTGCATGAAATTAATAAACAAAATTTTAAATTAGTGTCTAGCCGCCAAAAAGTAAAAAACAAATGCAAAATCATAAATTTTTCACAATTTTCTAA